AAAGATTGTGAGCCAAGTATTTAATTTGTTGAAGAAGGAAGGAGAGTGTCTCAGTCTGTAGATAATAATGACCAGGATTTTGATTGGGTGGAATAAGTGGGTTGCATGGACCTGAATGGAGAGGTTACTGTGTGGAGGTAGGTGGACAACCTGAAGTGGCAAATAGGGAACAAAGAGTAGTCCAACTTCTCTGCCTTGACCAGTGAATGGAGGGTAATGAGTGAAGGTTTGGCCAGTAATAGAAGGGGTGGCCAGGGAACTCTATGCCATGGGGGGAGCCAGGTCTCGCTGAGTGCTAGAAGGTGGAAAGAAAAGATTTAAGAAGGCAAACTTGTTGCTTATGGAAGGGATGGATAGCATTTGGTTGAGACTTTGGAGTGGAAAGATTGAGTGGAAGGGAAATAAGGAATTGGGTAGTGGGGGATGGGGAATGGGGCTTAGATGATGATGACCAACAGGGTTAGGTAGTAAGATATGGTATTACCAGGTCCCCTTCATTCCTTTTTTTTCCTTCTATTTTTTTTCTTGAGATTTTTGACCTTGTGCTCTTCCAGATGGATTTTACTATTTTGTCTAGTTCTACAAAGTGACACCCTGGTAGCTTGATTGGTTTGATATATCTATAAATTAATTTAGGTACTCCTTCCCATGTTTTATGATTATATTCATGAGTCCTAAGCCTGTCTTAGTAGATTCACTCTCAGATTTTTTTGTACATTTTTTATTTTAAATGGAATTTGACTGCAGCATTAAGCTTTCTTTCAATGACTTGTCCCCCTCTTTTCCCAGACATGTTATCTTGATATCCTTTATATCACTTCCTACACCCAAGTCACTGCTGAACTGTAGGATTTAGAATAGGAAGAGACTTTAGAGGTCACTGAATCCAATACCCTTGTATTATAGATGAAGAAACATATGCAGAGTTAAGTGACTTACCAAAGGTAAGTTATTATTTGAGGCAGGATTTGCACTTAGGTCTTCTTGACTTCAAGTTCACTCCTCCATGCTGCCTCCTACACCTATGTGTCAATTATACTTTGGATTACCTAATCTTACAGATAAACAGATAAAAGTATAATTTTCAACTTAGGATATAGGTGAGCTATGCTAAAGCTAGCTTTACACTGAGAAAAGGTTTGCCAAATATATGAATACAAAGATTACAGAGCATAAATTTCAATTACTTGACAGCAATGCTTTCAGGGATTTTAGTATTTTGTGTATATGCAAATAAATGTGAATTATAAATGAGTTATTATCCTTTAGTGCAGAATGGATACAACCTTCCTTATACTAGTTCAAGCTACCATATGAATTTGAAAGTCCTAGAGCTACATTTCTTTAAGCTCTTACGTTTGTCTAAGTCTGACTGTACTAAGAGTCTGCAAAGAAAAATACCAAAGGAGACGGCATAAGCCAGACACTACAGGCGTGTTCTTTTGTGACTCATTGCAAAGAAAACTATACCACAGAACTGGAACCCAGAAAGTTTCGCTATGGAAGTTGGTTTTGTCAGTTTAACTTTTTAGAAGATTGGGTTTAGTATTCCAAATCCAATAACCAATACTCCTGTTTAATATACTTTGCTGGAAGTTACAATTATTTTTCTTATCTTTGTGACTGGGAAAAAAAAGTCTTGAATGCACTTATGTAATTCGAATGTCATTGATGCACCGTAAATCCCAGTGGGCACAACATAATCTTAAGAACAGAGAATGAACATAAACTTGGCCATTAACCATACAGTCTTTAACCTTTGTAATTTAAATGGACCTTTTGGGAGTACCAATACAGCAAACACTTCTGGTCTCATTTATATTAGGATTACAAATTTAAACACAATATAATCTTTTGTGTTGTTAGATATTCCCCTGAGATTCTCCACATTTAAAGATTAAATGTTTAACCAGAAGTCTGCTAACACAACTTATGCGTTAGACAAAGGACACTTTTTTAATTCAATGGAAACACTAGCAGCACAGTATATACAGCTTTTATTTGTAAAATAGTATTCCAAGAAAAGGAACAATTTTCATACCAGATCTAGCTAAATACCATGAACTAATACCAAACATAGACAAGCAACTGTTGATGTTAAGTGACAAAAATATGTAGTGTTAGTTTTTAAAAACAGCAGCACTTTACGTAAACAGGAAGTTAACAGTTATATTTCTGAGCCACATGTGTGTGGTTCTTTAGTGTGACATCACCAGCTCTGCAAGATCTTAGATTTCTGTATAATGTTACACCAGACACAGCAGTACACACAGTAACCAGGTGGCTCTTGTATTTAATGGTGATTACGACTGTGGCCTCAAAGAATCAACTGATGCCTTCCCTTACAGATGACCTTCCAGTTTCCAGAGAGATAAGGGTTTAAATAGTCTGGATGGTACTAATTTCATAAGGTACGTAGATGATTAAATTTGAAATTCATGAAACAGGGTTTAGTCTTTGGCTGATTTGGGTAACCCTGCCTCTTGCCTGGCAACATGTTACAGTAAGGTCATTTAAAAACATAATATATAGTTACCCTTTCTTTTCAGACTTAGAACAAATAGAAACATAATTCAAAATGGGTCCTGTAGGGCATTTATAGTTTACTAATAGGATGTGTGTATATGTATTTATATGTGTTCTTTATACACATGCATTTTTTACACTTTTCTATACTATGTAAGAATTTCAAATTTTCACCTATTTCCCTTATTACATTAGATTTTTAAGGCTCTTTAAAATGCACAAAATTTCCTCTTTATGTCAAAACCAAATGAAAATACAAATTGCTTAAACATTTTGCTTTTTAACATTTAAAGAAAAAATCATCTGCATTTCAAAGCCTTAAAAAATCAAATAAATGTAATTAAAAAGGGGAAATATAAATATTTGAAGTTATGTAATTATAAAAAAAGGGACAGTGCCAATAGTATAATGTTGAAAATACTAAGTGATGTTCATTCTTCTATTTTCAGGAAGTGCATTTTTACTTGAAAGTTATTTAATAAGCACAAAAACAAAACTGTCCTCCTTTGAGATTCTTAGGGTAAAGTATACTGAATGACAATAAGGTAATGAGTTAACTTAAGTCTAGTTTTGTGAATGATCCCAGAAAAACAACCATTTTCCATTGATGTTAGAAAATATTAAAACTGGGCTGGTGACTCAATTAACCCTTGCTTGCTACCAATTAGCGTACTGTTGGTGAATCAAACCTGATGTGCTACTCTCCCTTTGAAGTGCCTAGGTTCCAAGCATATGCTGAATAATACTGAAGCGCTGAGTCATTAGGCTATTAAGTTCTTTAGGGCCATAATTTGTTTGCCTCTGCCACTGTCACATTAGGAACTAATTATATCTTCAGTTCTACTGTGAATGAGTCTGAATTAAACTAAACTATCTACCTGAATGGAAAAAGAGAATTTCAGAAAAGAAGTGGAGACCAAAAAAAAAAAATCAGTCCAATTCTAGCATAAGAAAGTGGTTACAAACATAAAAAGGGGAAAAAAAAGTAATTTCATTAAATCTCCAAAAAGAAAAAGTTAGGTGAAGTTCTTTTCAAAATAGCACAATACAGAAGCAATGCTAAGAAGGCTAAAACATATTAACTGCATTTATTGATATATGGTCTATACACTCATGTATATGACTTCTATAAAATTCATGTTTCATATTACTTGCAAGTTCCAGATCAGTAAAATTGCCTTTTCTTCTTTCTATATACAGATTTTGATTTTCAACTTATATACTTAAGATTTACTCATCTGAAGTTTGCTTTGCACAAGTCTGTGACCTTACTACTTGTCAAGACTACATCACATAATATTTAAAACATAAAAGTAACAGAAGTCAGAAAACCAGGTTACAGCATACAGTATTCCATAAAAGGGCTTACAGACTATACAAAAAACGTTATACTATCCTTAATCTGTGTAGAAACTGAAAACAACCTATTATACTAACCTATAGTGCAAGTGCTTAAGCAGAGGAGAACCTTATTTACAATTCCCCTTTATTTTTGCAGGCTAAACACCACACCATGTCACAGTTATACATTACACTTAAAATTCTTCAATCAGTTTTTCTGTTTTGACAACAGCACAAGTGGACAACATGAAAACAAACTGCTTGAATATTTTGATTTTTAAAATATAAAGGGGAAATCATTTTTATGCATTTTAAAGAGCATTAAAAACCCTAAAGTAATCAAAAGGCAAATGTGGTGAAAGTCTGAAATTCTTATATAATTATAGAAAAAAACTGAAGATAGCCAATGTAAAGATGTACTAATTATATAACAAATTTCATAGATCTCAGATGAATATTTACTCCAAATTGTTTCTGTCCATATAAATTACATATAAATGGCAAATTATATATCATCTAATTGGGGTGTATGTGTGGGGTGTGTGTGTGTGTGTATACATACACATACCCACATATATATATATATATATATATATATATATATATATATATATATATATATATATATATATATATATATGTATACATACCCACACATACATACATGCACCAATTAGATTTCTCCACACTAGGACCTGTAAGCAATGAACTGGTAATTTGAAAACTGAAAATCATGGGAGATGAAAATCATGGATAACCTTGACATTGAACCAAAAGGCAAATGAATGTAACAACATATAAAGTTTCCTTAACAGTCTAACTTTATGAGCTCAGGACCAGACATACCAACTTTTCTTTTTTATTTGGCTGTACAGATTTTAATTTGTGGTAAAAAAATTGTCAGTACACAAATTAAAGATCCATTTAATAACTTTAGAAAATTACCTAATCAACAGAGATCAGTTAGATAGCACAAAGACACTTGAATTTACCTTGCGATTTCAAAGAGCTACATAATATTTAATCACAAGACAGTCGATGTGAATTGTGTGTTTAAATCTTAGACACTTTGAGAGTTCGGGTTTACCGTGTACATTTTAGGCTAGTCATGCCTTCTGGAGCATGTAAAAATAACAGGGAAGTAAACAAAAATGAACAAAACACTTTGGATCAAGCAATCTTAATTCCAGTGTATCTCAAAAGTAGTCTTAGATAATTGAAAGGTTTTTCAGTCAGGTTATCTTGAAGATTAGACCATTTTCTTCACTAGTTCAGAAAGACCGAGAACTCTTTCCCCTTTTTACTTTTACACTCTTCATAATCTGGGGAAAGTTTAATTTACAATTCATTGCAAGTTAAATTCATCAAACACAACTAAAATTTTAAAGATCCATTTTTTAAGAAAAATTATTTTTAAAAAATCTATTTTTGTTGGAACTATAAAAGCTAAATCTCATTACTCTTATCTAGCTACAGAAAAATACTAAACTGAGGTCAAGAAAGCAGGGACTGTCTATAGGGAACATTGCCACTAATTACGTTCTGAGATTTTTCATCTTCTATACATTCTGAGAAACTGAGTAGTCAATTGCTTCAGAATGATATTAATTTCCATCCTCAGGTCAACCACATCTGGGTCTGTATTGCATATTCTTAAGAACATCAATCATGTTAACTTAGACATAAAGAATCTGTGACATCTCTCAAAATACCCTTTCAGGAGTTTCTAACACTATACTTGACAAAGATTTCAGAGCTTAGCTTGTAAATTGTTCACACAAAAATCCATAAAGGATTTCACCTACATATGATCCTCACTATGCAGAAACAAAGTTGGGTACTTTGATGTATTTCTGATTTGCTTTTTCCAATTAACATCACTATCTCTTTAGAAAATTTACAATCTGCAAACTCACAAAAACTTATATCTATTTACTTATTTATAATCTGGTTAAACAGGCTTGTAACAATATTTTCCATTCTAGTAAACTATATGAAGAGTCAGACTCGGTGCCAATGATTAAGGGCAGATATCACTTAAATTCAGAATTCAAACCTGGACATTCAGAGTATCGCCCCCAGAAGTGATTTTGTGTACTTGTAAAATTTGTGCTTTAGGTGGGGGTTTTGGAAGAAGCAAAATAATTTGAATCAGCAGTTTTCATTTTAATTACACAATATATACTATTTTAAGCAACTTTGCTGCAGAGTAGTCTTTAGGGTGCTGCCTAGAAACATTTTAAACTGGAGTTTAGTTTTTAAAGTATGGCTGAAATACAAAACAGCCTTGTTGAGGTGATTTTCTTTCCCCTCAATGGATGGAATATTTGCTTCTAGGCAGTTTGTGTCCACCAGGTCACTTTTAAAGGAAATCCTGCTACAAGATTAAAAAGAAAATTAGCACACCACCAAGAAACTAGGAGAAAAAAATGAGGATGTTTAAGTATACAGCAGTCACATTCTCCAGCCAATCTATGCCAGGGGTGACCATGTTAACAGGTAAGCAAGTCATATACATGTTGTAAGGCCCTCACCACTTCCCCTCTTATGTATCTTTTCCTTAATATAAATAGAAGACTTATTTTTCTCTGTAATAAAGCAGGTAATATTTCAGAGGGTCAGGCAGGGGCAGACTCAAGACCTTTTCTCTCAGAAAGTTTACAGGAGGATCTGGCTTCATTTCAGGCACATTCTTTTCCTCCTCTTCCCTCCTTTCTTCTTCCACATCCTCACAATTGTTGTTGTCATCAGATGGGTTGGAAATACGACTGGCAAAGACTTCTTTGTCCAAGAAGACAATAGTTTCCATTCGACGGCGTCGAACTCGCCTTCGCTTAAACCTGGGTGGGTTTTTCAGTCCATTTCCACTTTTGCCCATTGTTTCTTGATGAATTATCTTTTTAATAGTTCCTCGGATTGCAATTCGAGCTAAATCTTGGAGGCTACGAACAGCCAACGGAGCTAAGATAAAGAAGAATTTTATCAAATATTGACAGGAATTCAGCAGAACAAGATTTAATGAGATGATGGCTCAAATATGCAAATTAACTTAAATACACGGCTATTTTAAAAGTATTTGTGAAATTTGAGTTTTGGCAAAGCTTACTTTGGTATTTTCCGAAAATTATATTAAGCAGTCCTAATGTTTTGTATTCACATAGTACCTTGCTAAAACTAGGCCTCCACTTTTCGAGAGACAAAGGGAGATACCTGAGTCATGAAAAGTGAGGAGAATTGGGAATAAAAATTAAGATTCACTCTCCTAGACACAACATTTGATTTCCTTCCTATATTTGATTACTTTCTCAGGAGGTTCCTAGTTACTCAATCCAGGAGAATAATCAAGTATAGCCTTTCAGCTGATTTAACAGAGGTAGTATTCTCAATGTTTTTTGAAAGCTACAACTGCTATACATTTCACAAAACAGAGAGAGGCAAATTGAAAACTACAAAAAATAATATGAAGTCCAAGGGTCCAGCAGGCTATACAGATACTGGTCCCCTAAAAAGTCCTCAGTTTCAAGCTCATAATTTTCTTTAGCTTGTGTAGGGAAGAAGCATGAAAGACAAAGACATGATCAGGAAACAGAGTGGGCCAGTTATATGAATGAGGAAGGAATTAACAGAAAGATAATCCTGGTGACATAATGGTATCTACAAAATAATTAGAAGGTCCAGAAGCAGGCCTCTATGGAAGGTTTATGGCAGGACATGGACAGAAATTATAGAGGAGGACATGCTGTGGGTAAGTATTGAGCTGTGCCAATGGAGAGAGTACTTACTCTCATGAAATCATGGCTACTTCAAAGTACTGAAGGGAAGGCCACAAGCATTTCATTAAGATCTTTTTAATTCAAAAGAAGTAGATTAATGGTGGAAGTTAAGCATAACTAAATACATTAACTAGAAACATTCAGAATTCTTGACAGTATAAAAATACTCTGTGTGTGTGTGTGTGTGTGTGTGTATGTATATGTGTGTATGAGAAATAGTGTGTATATATGAGAAATAGTAAAAGGGCTACATTCAAGTTACCACAAGACAAGCCTAGAAAGAATGGCTAGGGTGATGTCCATTAAAGTCTCTACTTTGTATCATATAAGTAAAGAAAAAAGAAGTAGCTCCCAAAGAAGCCAGTCTTGGGATCAGTAAGAGCTAATTTCAAATCCTTTCTCTGACACACACCAGCTGTGTGTCCCTAAACACATAACTTTAACTTCTTGATACATTAGTAAATTCTTTAAGATTGTAAGTTACAAAAAACAAAAAAATTACTCCTTTGTGTCTGTGGAGAGAACTTCCATAATAGGAGTCCTCCACAGCAATAAAATCATGGGTCTGAACCAAAAAGAGAGAAAGGAATGGCAAATAAGAGCCATTATAAGTCCATGAAGAAAAAGTCACTCCAGACTAACTTCATTTTCTTTTTCTAAAAGGACTAATAGCCTTAACAGGTCAGGAGAATATAGATATAGTAGTGTAACTGGATTTTAGCAAGTCATTTGACAAATTCTTTCATGGCAACCTTGTGAATAAGAAAGGGCAGGCAAGGAGGATTTAAAATTAGTTGAATGAGCAGACTCAAATAATAGTCATTAATGGGTTGAAGTCAACCTGTAGAGAAGTCTCTACTGCACAGCCCTGACCTCTTATCCATTACCCTACGGTGGCCAATAGTTTATCAACAATTTGGATACAGGCATAGATGGCATAGTAATAAAATGTATAGATCACACAAAATTAGGAGGTGAAACTACCATTTAAGGTCCTGATTCCTAAAGATGGGCCAAAGCTAGTAGGAGAATATTGAATAGGAATAATCCTAGTTTTATACTTGCATTAAAAAAATGTCAGCATGCACAGAGTGGGGGAAGCCTGGCTAGACAAGAAACAAGAAAAAATTTTGTGAGGCTGAGTGGACTATTAGCTCAAGGACACTCACATGACATTAGTTAGGCTCAATTAAGAGAGTGTCTAGAAGAAGGGAGCTGATGGTCTCACTTTCTCCTCTTTCGAGGACACCTACATTACTGTATTGAGTTCTACACACCACATTTTAGGAAGGATATTAACAAGCTGGAGATTATCTGAAGGGAAGCTACTGCAGTAGCCCTGCTTTCAGCCCAGCCTCCATAGCTGTCATTCTGGGAAGCAATTCCTAAGTGTATAGCCCCAGCCTTCTCAATGGAAATGATCAACAGAAATGATATCAGGAAGTGGGCATGGTTAGTCTGGAAAAAGTCTGTAGGAATATGAAAGCTGTCTTCAACTAGCTGAAGGCTGGTCATGTGAAAGAATAGGATTAACCTTATTCCACTTGACTTCAGAGGGCAGAACTAGGAGCAGTGGGTGGGAGTTATAAGCTGATGTAAGGGAAAATATTCTTCCTAACAATTACAAATGTCCAAAAGTGAAATTGGCTGCCTCTGGAAAGAAAACGTCCTCCTTCACTTGGTATGCCTGTTTAGGTACAGATGACCTCTTGAAGTCCCTTTGCAACTGTGACTTTCCATAATTCGGGGTCAGTGAAATATATGGTCAGTCATTTTCTGTAGAAAACTTCTCCCCCCCCCCCCCAATGTCAGTTTGAAGATTACTGAAATTCCACTCCCATGCTGAGTTGTAAGACTGGCTGGCAAAAAAACCAAATGGGACACTGTGTTGTACCTCCTTTGAAACATAAATAAGCACAAATATATATCATTTGGTAACAAAGATAGAGCAGTTAGTCAATGAGAGGCAAGAATGTTATGAAAAACCTGTACTTCTCCTTAGGAATAAAAGAGGATGAAAGACAATTAAGTCAAATAATCATTTTTACATAACAAAATGCCCAGTTAAAGAAGTATATTTAGTGAACATTCAGTCTAATAGAGTCAGTTCTAACCTATTACTAGGGGTAGTAGGATGAGGAAAAGAGGCAAAGGCTGTATTTAGTGTGGGCATAGACAGGTTGTTCTGTATGAACAGCCACAGTGGATTAGGGTTGGGAGGATGGAGGATAAGAACTAGGATGACCACCCCATACATGGACTAGCAGAGTTTCTCTGTACCTGACTTTTCTGTCCTGGAACTAACCACATTGCATACTTCCCCAAGCAATCTTAGGAATGTACAACTCCTGTGATTCTGTGGTTAAGCTTTTGGCTTTCTCACATTTTCTTCCCCTCTCTGTACTTTCCAATTTCACAGCTCACAATGTACTCTCAAGAGGTTTATAATAAAAGCGAAACTGGTTGTCTAGTTTGGAGAAGAAAGTGGAATCTGATGATGTAGGCACATTCATATGAAACTGCGCCTAAAATCCAACTACAATTAATTGTAGAATTTTAAAATTTTTTACTTGAAGATAAAATGTGACATATGGTCAAAATTTTCAAATCATTTTTGTTCTAGTCTCTGATCAAACAGAAGAGAAGATTAAACAAAATATAAATCTTTGTACTTACGCAATTGCACAAGTCTTGACTTTCCTGAATCTGAATGGCTGGGCTGGATCAGAGGAGCAAAAGAAACAGCCAAAATCTTTTTGGTCTCCCAAGCAGAAGGACCCGTTCGAGTTATTTTAGTCAACTGTCCCAAATACAAAATGAGAAAAGTTTTAAATATTTGTGCATTATGTAAGGAGTTTAAAGCAGTTCTTCTTAAAATCTAAAAGATAAAAAAATCGACATATCCTTTGGCCTGTGAGAACGCAAGCACCTGCTTCGAGTCTCAGTGCTTTGTGCAATGCTTGGCATGCAATGGTGCTTAACAAATGCTTGTCAATTGACTGACAGACAAGAGAAAGTCTAAGCTAAATAATAATAAATAACAACTGAAAAATACAAAGTATAAGTAGAATTAAAGGATCATAGGTTTGGAGGCAGAAGGGATGATAGAGGTCATCAAATCCAACTCCCTGATTTGACAAAAGAGGCAGTAGGCAAGGAAGGTTAAGGGTCGTCCTAAACAAGGTAAGTATCTGAGGCAACATTTGAACACAGTCCTTCCTAACTCCAAATTGGTTACAACACACTGCCTCTCAAATAATGATAGTTCAGATTTATAGAGTGCCTTGAGGTTTACAAAAAGCTTTTCTCATAACCACTGCAAGTATTAATACTGTAATTTACAGAGGTGGAAAGCAAAGTTCAGAGAGGCAACTAACTTGTCTATAGACACATAACTATGACTCATCAAAACCAGGATTCAAACTCAGATTTCTCTTGACCAACACTAATAGGTGCTGTAACTTGATCAGTCCCATGTTCTGCTAATGTCTGCTGAAAATCACTCAACTAAAAGCTCAGTACATTAGCTACACCATGGAATTCAGCATAACCCTGCAATTACTTAAGAAACAATGCTCTGCTTATAACAGTCCTGTGATAGGGATCATCCAGTGTGCAATGTTTCCGAATGTTCCCAGATTGCTAAACTAGGTCAGAGTACTATTTTCACTTGCTAAGGCTTTCGAAGCAGTGTTTATGTGCAAGTCTTAGCTAATCAAATCTAAGCTGGTAAATAAATCCCCTAAGTGAACAAAGGTGAGGAAGACAAAGCTTTTCTCTCTCACACTTTCCTCTCATACTCTGCTTTCCTTTTGTTTAAAGGCTAATTTCACTTTCTAGGAAACCATTACATTGACAGTCAAGTGGATAAAAACATAGACAAATGAGTAGCTAAATTAACTTTTCTGGTAATATCTCACACTGCTAATACATACTGTACCGCAACAGAGTCCAAGTGTTTTCCAAAAAAACCAACTTCATTTTGTTGTTTTCATTGGTGCCTTTTCTATTTACATTTCAGTCATGGCCAGAAATGCCCCTCCCCTCAGTGAGCCTTTCCTTGTGACAAAGAAAAATAGCTAAACAAAACCAACTGATGTGGAAACTGCACATATAATATTTTACATCCATGGTCTCTCTACTGATCCAAAGAAAGGAAGGAAGTACATTTCCTTATTGCTATCTTCCAGGATCAAGATGGATCATTATAATTATACAGTATTCAGCTTCAAAATAGCAACATTTTCATGGCCCTCTTGAAAATGCTGCAGTTAACAACATGCACAATGCCCTTAGGAATTTTTAAAGGGGAAATGGATCATTAATTCATATTTTAAAAGTCTGGAATCATGAAACTGCTCCCAAGAAACGTCATTGTAAAATTATAGCAAAAACTATACTAAGGCAGTCTAGTAATTTAAAATAAAATAAATTTGTTCCTTCCAAAGTCTACAAATTATAAACTAAACACAATATAAAGGCATATGTATTATCAATTACAATCATTTTATGCTGTTTTGCTAAATTATTTTGGGGGATGTAAGTGTGAGTTAGATGGAGTTTGTATGCCATGTCAAAACAAAATGTATTAATTTAAAAAACAACAGCCACCTAAAAAATGTTACAGAAAATGTTAAATTTAAAACTAGGTTTCTTTATTCGTCTGTGAAAAAGATAAACTCATCTCAACATTTACTCTCATTATTTCAGAAACCAGCCATTTCTAAAAAAAGACAGTCATTGTTTTTAGTAAGATCACAGTTTGCTATTTCTCTACCAAGTAAAATAAAATGACCTCCTAATTGGCAAAGCCAATGGACATTTCTCTTCCTTTATATCACTGACTCTCCCCCCCTTTATGGATTTTCTGCTCTTTGGGCTTCAGACACTGAATTTATGAATACAATGGGGAGAGCACTGGATTTGGAGACACAAACTGGGTTGAAATCCCAGCTCTGTTCCTGCCTATAGGGCCTTCAGCAAGAGACTTAGCCCTTCTGGGTCTCAGCTTTCTCATCAATAAAAAGATGCCCTCCTTCCAGCTCTAAATCTGTCTTCCTAATCTTATAATTCTCCTGCTGCTCTATTCCTTTGGCTTCCTCATTCTCTCCCTAATACCTTAATACAGGTATTCCTCAAGGGTCCATCCTCAGCCCTCATCTCATTTTGCTCTTTGCTTCTGCCCTTGGCAATCTCATTCACTCTCACAGTTTCAAATACTACCTCTCAGCAGGTGATTCCTCAATTTATTTGTCTCCCTTTAACCTCTCCCCTGGGGTCCAGACCCATATCTCTAATTTCTTGTAGTTCATTTTCTTAATTTTTTTCTTAACTAAAACACTAAAAGAGCATGTTCAAATATGTATCAGAACCTATAAAGAGGCCTGTATATGAAACTGCGAATCTTCATTTCATGCCACTTGCTTTTTAAAAAAGTATATGATAAATTCCACACATTACTTAATTAACAAATGTTTGTTGAATGTCATGGAAAAGATCTATCCCTAAAGAAGTAAGAAGAACATCTAAGAACACTGCATGCCTCTTAAAATCAGGTTTAACTAAAGGAAAAAAACAGCTTCCTGATAAAACTTGAACAATAATGCACTAATCTTATTGTTACTATGCTATATGAAAAATTATTCACCAAATTAAAATACAGAAAGTGAATACTAATAATACAGGAAGAGTCACTCTGTGAATGTACCCATATTATTCCTATTGTAGCAGTGATTTTCCTACAGCTTTCATAATGTGACCACTTTTTTTTTTTAAAGTGTCAAGATGTTTCTAACTATGTGTTAATTATTTCTTGGCAGCTCATGATCCCACACCACATAGGTAAACAGAAAGTATATTCCTGGGGTCCCTTTGCAGAGTTTTGCTTGAGGGCCTTGAATATAAATTTATGCCACTGCTTCTAACTTTATACCTTGAATATACCTTCCCCCTTTTCTTTACTGTCTCTTTAATTTACTAGCCCTTTTTGCCTGTGAATAACCTGTTATAGCGTCTTTGGATGGGAGGAGAAAATAGCATATAAAGTTAAGGATTGATAAAGACATTTCATCTCTAGCAATGGAAGTTACCCCAAGATCTGCTAGTGCAGTAAATGACCACCTGACAAAAATGAGGAAATTAGTAGTCTATGCCTATGCTAACCACTCTGGTCCCAACTTAATATTTATGTTTAACTGATTCTGCAATATGCCCAAAGCGTTCACCATAGGATCAAAGATTCAGAACTGAAAGGGACCTCAAAGGTCATGTAGGACTTAGTTACCTCCTCTCTAAAATGAGGATAGACAGAGCAGATGACCTGCAAGGTCCTTTCCCATTAGCTCTAAATTTATGATATATTTTCACAGATCATTGATTGAGTTTAGGGCACAGTTGCTCTGCAACACATCCAATAAAGGTCATTCCAGCCAGAAGCAGTATAAAGTAGTAAGGGGCATAAAGGAGGGTGAGGAATGGAAGTAAAGAACATTCAAGTTCTCTATCTGTGAATCTGTAATGTGATTCTTTATTTTGGTACAGCAAAGGTTATTGGTGTTTTCACGGTAATAATAGTCTTTGAAGTACTTTTAGAAGGAAGAAAGAAAGGGAGTAAAGCATTATATTCATGAAAGTAAACTAACCTTTTCTTCCAGTGGCATGACAAGAATTCCCCCAACTTTAAGCAAACTCTTCATGTAATCTTCATGTTCTTTCTGAACTCCAGCACCACAATAAACACGATCATATTGAGTACAATCTGGAGAAATCTCCAGACAGTTGCCCGTAACAAAGGAAGGTTCACAGAATTCAAACCTGAGGGTAAAGGAACATTTCATATACTTGGTTTATATTGCCAAAAGTCTATACGATAGTAGTATCATTCTATCACTTCAAGTGTCTTTAGCTTTAAACATATTCATATAGCACTTCAATAGTTTAAACAATCTTCACACCATCAGAGACACAGCATGGTATAGTGAAAAGAACATTGGACTGGGAGGTAGAAGCCCAGGGATAGAGTTCCAGCTCTGCTCTACTATCTATGAGTCAAGTGACCTTGGCTAAATCATTCTCCACCTGAGTTTCAGTTACCTCATTTATAAAATGGGGAGAGTGACTTTATACTATCTACCTTTATAAGTCTGAGAATGCTAAATTTATAGCATCATTTAAAGTAACCCTACTTTATATAGGTAGGTTAACATATAATTATCCCTATTTTACAAATGGAGAAACTGATGACTAGGGAATAAAGTGCCTTGCTTGAGTAAGTGGCAGAAGCAGGAGCAGAATCCTAGTCTTTTGACTCTTACTCTACTACAAACATCCTCAAAGACGTTCAAATATTTGGACATAGCCGGGATGTAACGATAATGTTAAACAGACTGTACTCTAAGGATAAAATCACAGAGTTATACAACATGAACTGAAAAGGCTAAATACCTACAATCAAGAAGTAAAATCATTAAGCTGCTTATCAAAACATCAACTTATTAAAAATATACTTAAGTTTTAAAATATACTGAGAATTCTAATAGTTTAAAGTAGTACACATAATCAAAAATAGAAACATGACCTTGTTTTTTAAATACTCAATTACTGTGGGCATTTTTCTTATTTCAAAATTAGATAAAATTAGTTTAAAAAAATCTTAAATCTCTTATAAGCAATCCTTAAGTGTGGAACATTAATGTTATCTCAATATTATTAATGATATGAAATATAAGGGCTAGTTATATCCTAAAATATATACATACATACATGTATATACATATATATGTGTGTGTGTGTGTGTGTGTGTGTGTGTATATATATATATATATATATATATATATTATGTGTGTGCTAGGAACATATACAAATTGGGAATAATTTCTTTTCCGTTTATCAATATTAGGGACAAATTTGTCAATTCATCTGTGTCAATTCATCTACGTCAATTCCAATTGAATTGGAATCACTTCAAAGTACTGGATTTTAAAATGTGTGGGAATGAAACCCTGACTGACCTCTGGAACTCCAATCCTCCCAACCTCAACCTAGAAACAAGGTTGCTAGATTCTTGTTTAGGATCCATTAAGCAGGTGTGTAAAGTGAAATGAACAATCTCTTCTTTTTTTTTTTAACATCAATCTGTTAAGTTATAATTTACAAACTTGGATCCAGTAAAAAAAATAAAAGCCTTACTTGTCAAAACTATCACTTGTTCTGATGAAAAAATCCAGTTTCTGCTTGGCATACTCTATCACGTCTGAATGAAGTTCTACCCCATGGTTTACACCAAAAGGACCTAAAATATTCAGTAATAAGAAAGTTATTTATAACTGTGGCATGGAGTTCTTTTTTTCTTTATTCATTCTTTATTCATTCACTTCAATTACAAAACATCCATCTAGTTATCATACTCAATTCAATTCAACAAGCATTTAAGTGCCTACTAGAAGGTAGGCACAGTGCAAAGTGCTGAGGACAGAAAGATATGATAACAGATTCTGCCTTTGAGGAGCTTACAATCTATGGGGGGTAGAGGGAAAGCAATAGTTGTACAGACAAAATGTGTACAATGCAAATACAAAGAAATGTGAGAAGATGGAGATAATAACTGAAGGAAATTAGAAAAAAGATTTCATATGGGAAGTGGCACTTGAGCTGAGCCTTGAATGGATTCCAAGAGGCACTGTTAAAAATTATCATTTAAAAATACCATAGTTCTACATGATATTCCAAGATATGCTTTCAATTTGTTTTTATCTGCGTTGAAAGAATTAAGCATCGAACACTTGAACTAAAGCTATAAGAAAAGTTTTGCCTAAGACATTTCGATTCTTGTCAAAAAGCTTTTAGCACTTTGATATCACCTTTATTTGGAACTCTACAATCTTCAAGATCCTGTGTGCTGAAATTCCTTTCTGATATCACCTCCTCTTCTACTTCCTTACTCTTATTAAACCTTTTGTCTTCATCATCATGCCACTGGTCTCCTGATCCCTTCCTGTTCTCCCAGCTCAACCATATTTACTCTACTATCTCCTGATTGTTTGGAGTTGACCCAGGGTTCTTGAGGGAGTATAGCACAGTAGACAGAGCTGGCCTCTGAGTTGGCAAGAACTGGGTTCAAATCTTACATCTGACACACAATACTTATGTGAAACTGAACAAGTCACTGAAGTGTCCCAGATTAACTCCCTAGAAGATTAAAATTGCAGAGAAGATGCCGACCTATATTGGCAGAGGAAGTACAGAAAGTTGGACTCACCAACAGCTCCTAAGCTGATGAAGTCCATACATGTGTACACAATTAACACAATTTCCACCATCATCTTACTATATTATCTCCTCATGGTAAGGGTTGAATCTGGGTTCTAGGAGGCTGGAACCTGTAGAGGCCAAGTTCTAGTGTTCCTATCGTGTTGAGTTTGCCAAGGCATATTCTGAATAGTTGGAAAGGCTTTGGATAGTTTGGAAAAGTTTCAAGTACAAGCACAGAGACAGCAATGAATAGCACGTCTATAATCCAAAGACCAGTCTAGCTAAATTCAGTCTAATCACCAAAAGGTTGGCCAACTAGTGATGAATATTTTTGGCCATAGCAATGTATGAGAGTATTTATTTACTAACATGAAGAAGTGTTGGAATCTGTGTTAAGTGTAAGGAGTAACTTTCTGAAGTATCTTAAGAAGCATTTATGGCATGAACTTTCATAATGTCAAGTAGTATAAAGCTGAATTCAGATTTAAGTGACTCATTTTTAGGTGTATATCTCCCTTAGCCTATCGGTTGTCCTCAACATTTTAAAAAAATAGTCTTTTTATTTTTCCCCCCAATAACACATCAAGACAATTTTTAGTATTCGTTTTTACAAGATTTTGAGTTCAAAATTTTTGTCCCTCCCTCTCTCCCTTCCCCTCTTCCAAAAATGGTAGGCAATTTGATATAGGTTATACATGTGCTATCATGTAAAACATAGTTCCATATTAGTCACAGATGTGAATGAAACAGATTAAAGGGGAAAAAAAACACGAAAAAGAATAAAGTGAAAAAATAAGCTTTGATATGCATTTAGAGTCCATCAGTTCTTTATCTGGATGTGGATACCATTGTGAGTCCTTTGTACTTGTCTTTGATCGCTGTGTTGCTGAGAAGAGCTAAGTTATTCGTAGTTGATGATCATCACATAATGTTGCTGAAATTGTGTACAATGTTTTCCTGGTTCTGTTCATTTCATTTTGCATTAGTTCATACAAATCTTTCCAGGTTTTTCTGAAATTTGCCTGTTCATCATTTAGTGTCATTTAGCATAATACTAGTCCATTACATTCAGCCATTTCCCAATTGATGGGCATCCCCTCAATTGCCAATTTTTGCCACCATGAAAAGGACTACTATAAATATTTTTGCACATGTAGGTCCTTTTCCCTTTTTAGAGATCTCTTTGGGATACAGACCTAGTCGTGGTATTGCTAGATCAAAGGGCATATGCATATTTCGGATGCCCTTTGGGCATAGTTCCAAATTGCTCTCTGCAATGGCGGATCAGTTCATAACTTCACCAACAGTGCATTAGTATCCCAATTTTCCCATACCTTCTCCAACATTTATCGTTTCCCTTTTTGTCATATTAGCCAATCTGACAGATGTAAGTGGTTTTAGTTTGTATTTCTCTAATCAAAAGTGATTTAGAGCACTTCTTCATATGCCTGCAGACAGCTTTAATTTCTTGTCTGAAAACTGAAATGTTCATATCCTTTGACCATTTGTCAATTGGGGAATAGCTTGTATTTTTGTAAACTTGACTTGTTTCTCTATATATGTAAGAAATGAGGCCTTTATCTGAGACACTTACTGTAAAGATTGTTTCCTAGCTTTCTGCTTTCTTTCCAATCTTGATTGCATTGGTTTTGTGTAAAAGCTTTTTAAATTAATATAATCAAAAATATCTATTTTATATTTCATAACGTTCTCTATCTCTTGTTTGGTCATGAACCTATAGCTCACTTAACTTTTCCTTTAAGAATTTGGATGCTATACCACTTGGTGCATATATGTTTAATGCTGATATCACTTCATTTCTATAGTACCTTTTAGCAAAATGTAGTTTCCTTCCTTATCTCTTTTAATTAGGTCTATTTTTGCTTTTGTCTGGGATCAGGATTACTACCTCTGCTTTTTTTACTTCTGCTGAAGCAAAACAGATTCTGCTCCAGCCGATTACCTTTACTTTGTGTGTATTTCTCTGCTTCAAGTGTGTTTCTTGTTAACAACATATTGTAGGATTCTGGTTTTTTACCCACTCTGCTATCCATTTCTGTTTTATGAGAGTTCATCCTATTCACATTCACAGTTATGATTAATAATTGTGTATTTCCTTCCATCCTATTTTCCCCCCATTTGTCCTCTCTCTCCTTTCACCTTTTCCCTCTTTACCAGTATTTTGCTTCTATCTCCCACTTTCCCTGATCTGCCCTCCCTTATGTCAGTCCACTCTTCCCTTTAATTTCCTCCCCTCCTACTTTTCTGTGGGGTAAGATAGATTTCTATATTCAACTGACTGTGTATATTATTCATACTGATGAGAGTAATGTTCAAGCAATGCCCACTGCCCACCCCTTCATCTTTCCCTCCACTGTAAGAGGTTTTTCATGTCTCTTCATGTGAAATAACTTACCTCATTTTACCTCTCTCTTCTTTCTGCATTCAGTGTACTCCTCTTTCTCATCCCTTAATTATTTTATGTCATTCCCTCAAATTCACCTTATACCCGTACCCTCTATGTGTATTCCTTCTAGCTGTACTATTAGTGATACAATTTTTAAGAATTACAAGTGTCAGGGGGCAGCTAGGTGGCACAGTGGATAGAGCACCAGCCCTGAAGTCAGGAGGACCTGAGTTCAAATCTGGCCTCAAACCAAACACTTGACACTTACTAGCTGTGTGACTCTGGCAAGTCACTTAACCCCAACTGCCTTAGAAAAAAAAAAAGAATTACAAGTGTTGTCTTCCCACGTAGGAATGTAAACAGTTCAGCTCCACTGAATCCCTTATGTTTTCTTTTCCCTTTTTCGGCTTCTCCCGGGTCTTGATATTGGAGATAAATTTTTTTTTGTTCAATTCTTGTCTTCTCATTATGAAAGCTTGAAATCCTTTTATTTCATTGAATAAGCATTTTTTCCCCTTTAAGTATTATGCCTAATTTTGCTGGCTAAGTGATTTTTGGTTGTAGTCCTAGATCCTCTGCCTTCTGGAATATCATATTCCATGACCTCTGATCCTTTTAATGTTGAAGCTGCTAAGTCCTGTGTAATCCTGATTGTGGCTCCCCACTATATGAATTGTTTCTTTCTGGCCACTTGCAGTATTTTTTCCTTGACCTGACAGTTCTGTAATTTGGCTATAATGTTCCTTGGAGTTTCTATCTGGGGATCTCTTTTCTGAGGTGATTGGTGGATTCTTTCAATGCCTATTCTGCCCTCTGGTTCCAGGATATCAGGGCAGTTTTCCTTTATAATTCCTGGAAAGATGCTGTCCAGGTCCTTCTTTTGATTATGGCTTTCAGTTGGTCCAATGATTCTCACATTGTCTCTCCTGGATCTATTTCCCAGGTCAGTTGTTTTTCCCATGAGAATTTTACATTTTCTTCTATTTTTTCATTCTTTTTAATTTGTCTGATTGATTCTTGATGTCTCATAAAGTCATTAGTTTCTATTTGCCCAATTCTAATTTTTAAGAAGTTGTGTTCCTCAGCTAGCTTTTGTATTTCCTTTCCTATTTAGCCAACTGTACTTTTTGAGGAGTTGTTTTCTTCTGTGGATTTCTGTATCTCCTTTTCCATTTGGCCAATTCTACTTTTTAAGCAGTTTTCTTTTTCCAAGTTGTTGATTCTTTTTTCATAATTCTCTTGCATCATTCTCATTTCTTTTCCCCTTTTTTCTCTTGTGTCTCTTGTATGATTTTTAAACTCCTTTTTGGGCTTTTCCATGAATTTTTTCTTGGCTTGAGACCACTTCTCATTTTCCTTTGGGGTTCTATCCATAGGTATTTTGACATTGTTGTGCTCTTCCAAGTTTGTGTCTTGTTCTTCCTTGTCACCATAATCATTTCTATAGTCAGATTCTTTTTTTGTTGATCATTTTTGGCCTTTTTCAAAAATTTGAGCTCTGCTCCGAGGGTGGAAGGGACTGTCTCAGGCTTCTTGTACCAGGGGCTTTGCTTGCCTAGGCTATGCTGCCCCATGTACTGTTTCTCAGAGCTGAATTCTACCCGTCCTTCTGGCTATGCTGAGGCACATGGGAGGTCCTGGTATAGCCATCTGCCTACTCAACCACACTGGGGCTCAGATCTCCCACTGGTTTGGTAAGATGGGGCTTGCAATTGGCTTGCTGGGACACTTCCTATCCTGGAACGTGTTCCCCTTTTACCCAAGCGACACAGACTTTCTTGCAGATCTTCCAAGTTTCTTGGGCTAAAAGATTGTTTTACTCCATCTTTCTGCTAGTTCTGTTGTTCCAGGATTTGTTTCGGGGGGGGGTGTGCTAATTTGTAGTTGTTTAGAGGTGAATAAGGGAAAGTTACAGCGATTTACTGCTTCCTCTGCCATCTTGGCTCCTGGATGCGTCCTCAACAGTTTTATGTGAGCCTAATGGTAGTATCTGCTTTTCATCCAATTTTGCAATTGCATTAATAAAAAGGAGAATTTCACAAGTCAATAGTTACAAGATGACAGATATTATGGGATGCTGAATTCTCATAATGATAATAGCACTCATGAAGAAATAAGGACATAAGGCATTTAATCACTAAAAATATATTTACTTTAAAAAATATATTAAAAAATTATATTATGCCTACCCATATTATAAATATTTAATGCACACAGGAAAGCCAAAATAATTTTTGGATAAACATATCCTCAAAATATCACCTGTATATTAAAAAACCCAAATCCCCATTGCAAAAAAATGCTACTGAAACAATAAATTCTAAAGTCATTACAACAGAACAGCGTAGCCCTCCTTACTATCCCCACCCCCCAAATAGAATGTAAACTCTCTGAAGGCAGAAACAATCTATCTTTTGTGCATATTTGTATTCCTAGGACCTAGCATAATTTCTGGCATAAAGTAAGCATTAATATCTGGTGGTTGAGATAGGTATAGAGCAATCCTGAAGGAGAATTTAGAACTTAAAACATTTTTATTTTTAGTCTTATTTTTGACCCATTAGAGTGGGGTTGTAAATTTTTTAACCTATGACCCTCCATTTTTCTTTGGAGGTAGGAGATCTTGGCAGCTGCTAGACAAATTAGGAGGTTCTCTGGTCACTGGCTCTCCTCCCAAGAAAGTGGGCCATATCTAGTACTACTAGATTTCAGATCTTTGAAGGCAAGGGTCTTGTCTTATTCATCCTTGTAGTTAGTTAGTTTGTTTTAGCGGCTAGCATGTAGTAGTCACTTAAATGTTAGTTGAATGAATCTTCAATAAAATACAAAACAAACATTTAGTAAGCACCTACTATATCTAGGGCATTGTGCTAGCTGTTGAGGGAAATGTAAAGTTTAGAACAGGTAAAGTCACTACCTTTAAGAAGTTCATAATCTAGTAAGACACTAGCAGATGCAGTTATAATACTCAACATAAATTCAATGGAAAGTAATAAAACAGTGCTCTGTGAGGTTATGGGCAGAAGGTGTTCAGTAATGAGGGGATTAGGGCAGGTTTCATGGAAAAGGTAGTATTTAAGTTGGGTTTTCAAAGAAGGGTAGGAATTCAATAGGCATAGGAGAAGGGAGAGTATTGTTGGCCTAGGGAAAAACTTAAATAAAAGCACACTGGCAGGAGAGCACAGTAAACATTCAGGGATAGAGAGCTGTCCATTCTGGAACAAAAAACAGAGAAAAGAGAAATATGAGATAAAGTTGGAAAGGAAGGATGGCACCAAGCTACAGTGGGCTTTGAATGACAGACAGGGATATCTGGATTTTTAAAAGTAGGCAGCATGGAGCCACTAAAGACTTTTGAGCAGAGGTCTGACAAAATACGGGTATAAGAAATATGATTCTAGCAGAAGCACAAAGGATGGACTGGAGGCAGGAAAACCTATAAGGGCGGTTTGCCAATAGCCCAAATGGTTCATAAAATATCTATACTCAGGAGAGCGCCTGGCACAAAGTAGGATTAAGTACATGATGAGTAACTGATTTGATGAGATAGTTTTGAGAGATACTGTAGAAATTGACTTGAAAGAACATGGTAACACAAAGGATAAATCAATGACTGAGTCCGGTCATGGGAAACTGAGCGAATGAACGGTAAACGGAAGAAAAGGGTCAAATGGAGAACTGTGTACATGTGGAAAAAATAATGAGCTTGGCTTAGGATGTGTTGAGTTTGAGATGCTACTGGGTCGTCCACGTGAAGACGCCCTGCAGGGAGCTGAAAATATGGGGCCTGGAGCTCAGGAAAGAGAGGCTAGGACTAGACATAAAGATTTGAGAGTCACCTATGTGAAAGAGGCAATTAAAGCTCTGAAAGTGAATTAACTTGGCAAGGGAAAGGATGTATAGAAATATTAGAGTAAATTGTAAAATTTGGCCATCAACCATGGAAAATCAGGAACCCCTCCCCACCCCAGGAGTTTATGGCCAATAACATGCCCATATTCCTTTTATTTTAAAAGGCTACTTATTGTACCATAAAATAAATGGTATAGGCACAGAATAAAGAAACTAGTCAGATTTCCATATCTTTCTTACCTAAAATGAGTCCAACCATAGAACTGAGATAACCAGTGCCACTACCCAGATTCAAGAATGAAAGTCCAGGTTGTAGATCCAGGGCTTCCATCACTTCCGAATATATGCATGGGGCAGACAGGTGAATATTGCCATGTTTCCAGGCTAAGTCTTTATAGGCATTGTCTTTAAATTCTTCAAGATAGTAGTCTGCACGGTCAATAGCTCGGAAGGCTTGCTCTACCAGCTCTGTCCGGATATACTGTGCTTCTTTCAAATTATCTATTAGCTCATCATTGTCTTCCCCAGCACTGACAGCACCTCCCATTTTCAAGGATAATGCTTAGGAAAAGCTACAATTACAAAGACAGTAAAGGAAAAAGAGATAAGACAAAGAAGACATGAAAAAGTAGAAGTTCTCAACTGGCATTCAATTAGAATTCTCAATTAAGTTATGACAAAGTAAGACCTTTCAGGAAACTTGGAAAAATTCTAGCAAGCAATCTATTCAATGTATTTACCAGATATGGAAAAAGGTTAACATAGATGATTCTTCATCTGGATTTCAAAGACTTACTCTCTCAGTAAAGGATATAACATGATATTATACCATATCAAATTCTGAAACATACTTTCTAGGACATGCAAAACCCATTTCAGAACCAACTCTGACTATTCATGGCTGCTACCATAATTATTTGTAACTATTAACAAGGTGTAATATTCTGTGTTCCCCTTTTAGCCTTTTTTTTTTTTTGCTTTTAGGCATTTGGGGTTAAGTGACTTCCCCAGGGTCACACAGCTAGTAAGTGTCATGCCCCTTTTTAGCTTTTTTTAAGAGTAAAACAATACCTACCTTACATTCTTCTCAATTGTTTTTAAGGGCAAAACTACAGTGAACCTTCCCTCATGAGCCCAACAACTAGCTATATACATAGTACAAATGGAAACTTTTCCTAAACTTATATTCCTCCTATAAAAATGAAGAATTGCCCTTTCAAAATCATTTTTATCCCATAAAGTAATAGTTTAAAGTGATACGAGACAATAGAAATTTTTTGCAAAAGATCTGCTTTCCATTGTTTGGTTAAAAAAACAACCTACCACGGTTTCACAAAACCAAGCACATCCACAGAATTTGTTCTTATACTGTAACAACTTTGTTCAATTTTTTTTGTTTTCTATTTACAATAATTCCCTCTATTTCTGAAAGTAAAATGTGAATAAAGATACTATAAATGCTTTCAGAAAAAAGTTTCCCAAACCAAATAAGCAAAATCTGCAGTTCTGACAGTAGAGGATACAATTCCACCCCCCCCCCGAATAAAAATAAAAGCTGACTACATATAATTATTCTGCATCACCTAAAACACATTAAAGATGTTTGAAAAGCATGACAAGTATGTTGCTAAACATGAATTTCCACCCATTTTTACAACCAGATTTTAATTATACTGACTATTATTCATAATCAAGACTTTTAACTGACTAGTACTTCTCCAAAAAATCCATTTACTAGAAGCTGCTTTTTCCTTTTCTTTTATGGCGATGCCTATGGCCAATTAGTTCACTTGACTGAGCCAGTTAGCTTCATATGCAGAAAATTTAGTTCTGAAAACAAACTGTGCACACTTAACCCTTCTATTTTCAATTTCAATGAGCGACATTTTTGTATCATACAGAACCAACATGAGATGACTCTTCTGCCTGATGCTGCTTTTTCCTAGTTAGGGCTTTAACATCCTTTCATACTAGTAAAATTAACATGAACTGTCTATTACTTAATATTACTTATAATTAATGCCATTAGTTATTTATAACTCCTAAAATCCTAAAATCAAGGTCCATGATGATCTTTCCAAACTAAATTAAAAGGTTTCTCCTCAACTCCTGCTTCCAACAAGTTATTCCAAGTTCAATTTTCAAGGCATTGTTTTTATACCATTATTTTCTATGACATAGTAGTACAAGTGGACAGATTACAATGGAAAACCAATCCATTTAATGTTGCTCAACATTATAAGGCCACACAATATGATCACATTGTTACATATGTGTTTTTTCATTTGACTGTTTTCTTCTAGAGCCCCAGGGAAATCTATTTTTCCTAACTTCTTTATCAAACTATAATTACAACTTATAAATGCTGCTTTTTATAATTTCTCTAATTTTTGAAGAACTTCTGTAACCAACATTTATAATGGAATAGTAAGCTTCATGTTGTTTCCATATTCAGAAATCATAGAACGTCAGAGTTGAAAGGGATCTCAGAGGTCATCTGGTCCAGTTCTCACTTGCACAGGAATTCCCTCCACACTATCCCCGGCAAGTAGTTATCCAGCTTCTACTTGAGGACTTTCTATTAACAGTGACTTCACCACCTTTTGAGGTAACCCATTCAATTTTTGGACAGCTCTAATTATGAGGAAATTTTTCCTAACATGGAGTTACAATTTGTCTCTGTAACTTCTATTCTTTTCTTTGCTCCAAGTTCTGCTCTCTAGGTCAAGCAGTCAGTCAACAAGCATTTAAGTGCCTACCTACTATGTGTTAGGCTATGTGCAGAACAAGATATCTTTTATAGGCTAGCCCTTCAAAAACTTATGGTCCCCTTAAAACTTTTCCACACTACTTCCTTCAATCAATATTTGTATGATTTGGTTTCTAATGCCCCCATCATCACCCTCTTCTGGACAAAGTCCTTTGTCAATGTCATTCCTAAAATGTGACCCCACCCCCTGCCCCAATTGAACATAATATTCTAGATGTGATATGGCCAGGGCAAGATAAAGCAGTACTATTACTTCCTTAGAGATGGACACAATATTTCTATTAATGTTATGGAACCTAAGATCACATTGGCTTTTTAATTGCCATATCACACCTTTAACTTGTATTAAGTTTGCAGTTCACTCAATTCCTCCCAGATTCTTATAGTGTTGGACCATTATTTCCCACAAGGGAAGAGAACAGAAGAATTGGATATTAGTTGACAAAAACTGTTTTTGTTATACTCTAGCAGTTAACAAAAGAGAATTAAACAAGGGATAATTTCTATATATTTCTAATAGCCAATCCTAAACTAGGAAAAGTTAGTACAACATCCTCTTATAAAACCAAAAATGAGGCTTATTCACTACAACAATTCAATTCCTCTTCCTCTCAAATTTCATTCTCACAGATTATCTTAATATCAATGTTCCACATCAATTCTTCATAGCTCAGGTGTTTCTTTGGGGCTCAGCAGGATTTATTATTTTGAATTGTATGGCTAAATAGCAGTAATTTAGAATAAACCTAAGCATCAAAGCAACCAATTTTTAAACAAGGCAAGAGATTTTGTCAGCTACTTAAAAGAACAAGTTTAACTAAAAATGATCAGTTTACTACAGTGTCTTCCTTTCATATTCAACTGGGCCTTTAAAAATTTTAGTATGATAAGGGTAGGATGTATTTTTGGAGAGGAGTAAAGGGAGAAGAGTATGTAAGTGGAAGGTCTCCAAGGATTATTTTTTAAAGGCAACGTGTAGCCCTTCTGGACATAAGGCTGTATTACAAATCTGCTAAGACCTAAATGTGGTTTAAGATGGTCTTTTTAACCCTGCTGGTATCACTTTTCAATTAATTAATTTAATCAAAGTCTTTAGATAGTTATAATCTGTGACCCACTCAACATTTTACTAGAGCTACCCTTACCAAAGTTGATTGTTAAATTTCCATATCTTTCCTGTAGTTTCAAACTTTTATCAGTTACTCTTTACAGGACGAATCCTAATCATTATAAAACCTTCTGAAAATGCCTTTTCTTAAGGGTGGCTGCCTTTCATTGCCTTGCAGCTGAAAAAAGCAAAACCTTTATGTATTAAAGAGATAGGGCACTCTACTGAATGGGGGAAAAAAACACCAAACAACAATCCATATCGAGGAAAAACATTTTTAAGAGAAAGAACTTAAAAGCAGCCTCAATTATTTCAAATCTAGAAGTAATTTAACTGTCCCAACTAGGACGTCGGAGAGAGCCAAGAACTACCCTGTACACTTTATTCAATTATTTCAAATCTAGAAGTGATTTAACTGCCTCAACTAGGCCGTCACAGAAAGCAAAGAACTACTGTACACTTTGTTCCCAATGCTTAAAGAAAACAGTACCTCTAGAGGCACGCCCTTGTGCACAGGATGGTGCACAAAGCAGGTAGTGAGTGCACTCGAGCTGGCCGGGACGCCACGTAAAGAAGCCAGGAGAATGCGTGGCGGCAGCAGCAGCAGCAGCTGGGCAGATGAGGAGCTCCTACGGAACACTCAACATCTGGGCAGGAACTTCAACCAGAACCAGGAAGGACCTGTGGGGGTGGCACCACCGAGCCCGCTAAGCCGCTGCCTCCGGGCTGTTTATCCCAGTAACCAAAACCTGTTCTCAGCTGCTCCCAGAGGAGCAGAAGCGCCTGGCCACCCAGCACAGGAGCTGCCAGAAGGCAACGCCAGGTGGGAGGGGAAAGCGCACAGCACTTGGAACAGGAAGTGCAGGGTTCGAATCTCGACTCTGCCCCCTGTTTGACCTTGGGTAAAAAGGGAAAGCGTCAAGTTTCTCCAAGAGGGCTTTGAAATGCAAAGAACCCGGGAAAGGTGAAATCCCACCTCCACAATATACCCCAGGTTGCGACCTTGGGAAGTCAGTCACCTCTCCGGTTGGGTTTGTTTCTTGGAAGGGACCCGTTATTCCCAGCGTGTAGGTTCGGAACTCCCACCAATAAAAACGGCCCCAAGAGCCGAAACTTTTTCAGAGAGGCCCAGAGAGGTAAAGTGACTTGCCCCGGGCGGCACAGCCAAATCTGTCAGAGGCGGGACTCGACCCCAGCTCTCCATCCACTACCCCACGCTGCTGAGGGATAAGGGGTCTCTGAGGTCCCAGCGAGCTGGCCGGGCTGGCGAGATCCCTGCCCGGGGTGGGGGACGTCCCCGAGGTGCCGCCGGCGGAGCCCGCCCTCGGGACCCGGGGGAGAAGACCCCACGTCGCGGGAAGGGGGGGGGTGGCTAGGCACCAGAGCTCTCCAAGCCCGCCTCGGGGGCGGCCGCCTCCTCCCCGCCAGCCCCGGGGTCCCACCCCTGGGCGTCCGCAGCCCTCGGCTGCCTGGCCGGCGGCTCTACCTCGGGCCTCGGGCGGAGACAGGGCCTGCGCTGGGCTGCGGCCTGGAGGTCCTCGGGTCTCGGCGCTTGCTGCCCCGCCGGGGCCCGGCCCCGGCCCAGGCGCCCGAAGGCTCACCGCCCAGGCTCCTACAGTCCGGCCCCGATCCGCCCGACCCTGCCCTCAGCGAGGCCGCCCCCTGCCCCTGATCCGGCCTCCGGCGCTTCTGTCAGCCCCTCACTCAGCGCCTGGATCGCCGCGTCTGCTCCGCCTCCCACCGACAGCTGTAAACATCCGCCCGGCTGACCCCGGGGGTCGCCAGTGCGCCTGCGCCGCGCAACCGCTCCGGCTCGCGTGGGGGAGGCAGCTCAAGGACTCGGAGCGGGGGCGGTGCGGGGAGGAGGGAAGGGGCAGTTAAAGGGGAGGGCCGCGGAGCCTTAAAGGAGAAGCTGTGGGCCTTGCCTTAGAAGAGAGCATGCGTGGGGTCTTGGGCGAGGTGGGGGTGGGAGCGAGCGGAGGAAAGGGGCGGTGTTCTAGAGATGTAGCCTTTCTCTATTGGAAGCGGGATTGTGACACGTCCCTTCCCCACCCCGCCCAGGCCCTCCTGTCACGGAAGGAGAGAGTCGGGAGGGGCTTCGAAGGTGATCCGGCCCACACCCGAGGCAGAAGTTCTATCCCTCCCCAGCTCCCATTTTTAGGAAGTGTTTCCTTAAATCCTGCTGAAACCCGCCTTTCTGCAGCTTCCTTCTTTTGCTCCAGGTTATGCCTCTGGCCGAACAGAATTAGTCTATTCCCTCTTCCCTAAATCAGCCCTTCAAATATTTGACAGCTGCTCTCCGGTCCTCCCCAGCCTTATCTTCTTCGGGCCAAGCATTCCCAGAGTCATGTTTTCCAGTTCTCTGGGCGCTCCAGCTCCTCAGTGCCCTTGACCCCTTCTTGAAATGTGGCACCAGGGTGTGTAGTGGGAAGAGATCTGGATTGACCACCTGCCTCAAAGGGTTGTGAGGGCTGAGCGAGTGCTTGGTAAACCCTAAGGCTCGAGAGAAATGTGAGCTGTCATTGTCATCTGGAATTAGTCCCAGTTAGCCGTCAACTAGCACTTATAAAGCACCTACTATGTGCCAGCTCTAGGGATACAAAAAACAAAGGCATTCCATCTAATGGGGGAAGACAACACAGAACTCTTTATAAACAAGATATGTATTTATGTGTGTGTATATATATATATATATGTATATATATATATATATATACACACACACACACACACACCTCTGGACCTATCATATACAAGTATATACACATATATGGGTGTATATATACATAACTTGTTTGTACATATTGCAATATATGTATCTATATATGTATATATACATGTGTATATATGTGTATATATATAATATCCCATCTCCAGTTGTATTGCTCTATATACTTGGCCACTGGACCCAGATGACTCTGGAGGAGAAAGTGAGGCTGGTTACTTTGCACAGCCCTCCCTCACTTAAATCCAATTCACTTGCATGTCATGGCATCACTTCTTGATGCCATGGTCCTTTCCAAGAACAAAGGACAAACAACATAACTGTATGTATCTCTGCATACACACACACACACACACACACACACACACACATATTTGCTGAATAAGTTGAGGGTAATCTCAGAGGGAAGGCATCAAGATTAAGGAGTATTGTGAAAGCCTTCCTGGAGAAGGCGGGACTTAATTACTCATGTGTAGAGTTAGAGGAGTCCCTTCCATTTTTTGGACATCACTACAGAAACGCCATTTATTATTAATGATGGTAATAAAACGTGAAGGTTAGAATAGATGATCTCAAAAAACCCTTCCAGCTCTAAGGCTCTTGTTTGCTGTTGTTGTTAACTAGAGTAGAGTATAGCAGAGTCCCTCAATGAAGCTTAAGATAATTTTTTGGCTTTTTTGGCTGCCATGTTGACTCCTCATGAGTTTGCAGCCCACTAAAACTCCTCTACTCTTTTTAACACGAACTATGCCCAGTTATATTTCCTCATCCTTTACTTCTACAGTTTTTTCCTTAACCTAATTGTTGGACTTTTAAATTTATTCTTTTGAACATAATTTTATCAAATTTGGCCTATTACTTTTGATAAGTCCATTCATTCCACAAGTAAGTATTCATTAACCAGAATCTTGGAATCTAGACATCTCCCAACATAACATCTAGCTATGCTCAGTGCTAGAATGTGTTGCCTTCTTACATATCCTCTTTTGGAAACCTCTGTATTCTACCTTTGCCTTTGGGATGGCAATATTCTACAGTCTGACCCTGACTACTCCAGAGGGCTGCTGCCCCAGGTTCAGAGTACTCTGTGGGTCTCAATTCTTTACAACTATAGCTCATGGACCCTCACCAATTTGTCTACCTTTATTAGTCAGCCAGGGCATAATTAATTTCAAGCAAAGGTATTTAATGATATGACACAGAAAGAAAAGCAGCAATGAAAACATTTCCACCATTAACCTGGGACCTGCTCTCGCACAAATCTACATAGCATTGTTGGGAGCACTCATGGAGAAGCATGCACCTAGGAAACACATATGGCCAAGACACATCTGGGTATAGACTACATATATAGCTGGGGCATTCACCTTTCTCTGTCCTATATCTAGCCATGGGGTTTGAACCAAGTTCGGTCCTGGGTAGACTGTCTGGGCAGGCAGGGCTCCTTTTTCTCACATTTCTTTACTCATTAAGAGTCACTGCCCTATAGTAAAAGTTATTGCTCACAAGTCACACACAAAAAGGAGGAAGTAACAAAAGCACTCAATATGCAATAGTACTGGGGAATGGGATAGGTAATTTATTCCTATACTCAAGAAGGAATGCCAAGTGTAAAAGAGGCACAGTGCACATTAAAAGAACTGACAGGATTCAATAACTTGGCTTCTAACTATGCTTACAACCAACTGCTGAAGGGGGGGGGGCTAATTTTTAGGCTTCTTAAAGTAGTTTTGTAAGACTGCCAATAAACTCTTTACCTTTCACCTTACCTCACACTTCACTATTCAAGCATTACTCTAGTAGAATGGCTATGCTTCACCTGGTCTTCTGCTCAGTGACCGACTTCAGCTTTCAGAGGCTTCCCCTGCTCCTAGCCACCATTGCTTCAGGAGGGATGCTATCAATGCTCACTAGAATACTTCTGGACCTTTCAAACTTACATGGCCCTTGGTTTGCATCCGTCTCAGAGATTCATTTGCCTAATATCAGGAAAGACCAAACACAAAAGAGACAGAAGCTGCCACATGGATGGGATCAAGGGTTTAACTAGATGGGCCCTGAGATCTCTTTCAGCTCTAGATCATATCCTATGACTGTTATGAGCATGAGGCAGAAAAAGACCCTGTACTTCCTGAGTCATATTTTGCTACCTAGAGAGCGGTAGCTAAGTAGAAGCTGTCTCTTCTTATCATAGATGTAGCATACTACCGTCCTATTGTTCTCATGGGGTCCAAGAAACCACTCGAGGTCTATCGCATCATCTCAGAATGCCAAGTCCTTTCAGCAGTGTGTTCTGACATGTCCAGAAGCAGCCCCAGAGCTCCCATGTGGTCAACTGGATCCATGCAGAGAAGAGCTACACATGTGCCATAAAATGATGTGCATTATTCGCACCCACCCATACATAGGTAACACTTGTAGCCAAGGCTTATGTATGCAGGGGCAACTCATGCTTCTAATGCTGCAGGGTTAATATTTTCTAGTGATGTCATTGTACCATTACCTCTATCTCTGTTTTTAAATGGGCCAACTCTCTGTTGTTTTTAAGTTTCCATTTCTATCTGATGTTGCTCTGCTGGACACATTGTCTCTGCCAGATGCTACTCTGCTAAATTATATTTTGCTAGATTTAAAAGTCTCCATTGCTTCCAGCTTCTGGCTTAGCTGAAATTCTAATCTGCTTCTTCAAGGAAGAATTGATACTATCATGCTTTCTTAATTTAAAGTGTATAGATTTTTCCCAAGTGTTTTAGAAAAAGCAGACAGATCTTGACTTAGGACTAGCAAAACAAAGCAAAACAAAAACCAAAACAAAACAACAACAAAAAATCCCTTTCCCTGTTTTGTTCCTTCAGAGTCTTTGCTACTAAGACTGTTCCCTTCCTTAGTCAGAGATTCTTAGACCTAAGTATCAAGTTCTTTTGAACAAAAATCAGGATCTCTCCACCTAGCTAATACATTCTTAGGTGTATTTTGAGTTTTGAGCCTTTAGGTCAAGATCCTCACCCTAACTTATGGTGAGCATTCCATACAGTTCCCAAATTTTCATAACCTGAAGCCCAATAACAATTATTTGCCCAAGAACTACAAAACAGCTGTGGGGTTCAGGGTTCTCCAGTTTTCAAACTCCTAAATCTTTTCCATTGTCTCATGTAGTCCAGTGGATGGGGAAAAAAAAACATCAAAAAGCAGACAATGCCAAGCCCAGGGGGAAAGACTGTGCCACATTTCCAATTCCTTCATTTGTAGATGTAGCCAAAGTCTGAAAGGGACTTCGTTATATTCTTTTACATATATTTAGGAGTTAATCAGAGGAGTTCCCCAATAAACTCAATGAAATTACAGGAAGGTGACCCTTTGATTGAAATTTTGTTTATATTCCTGTGGAGAATATGTGTTCCTTAGTGCCTCATGGAGGGTGATAGGGTCTCAGTGATTGGAGATAAATTAATTGACTCAGCTTACTGTGGGTCAGATCGATATCTTTGTACTGGACCTATAAAAAAGGAGGTCAATTGTATAGTTGCTTTTTTCTCTTTCCAGATGATAGGCCAGGATACAGCAGAGATAAGAGTGGACGTAAGCACTAAATACTTCCTCAGTTTCCCACTAGGAGATACTATTTTCTGCCTTGGGTCACAGGCACATAGGAGTTTCATGTGTTCTTGTCTGTGCCGCCTCCAGAGAATTCCTGAATTGTGAGTCCCTAGATTTTGACTATTGTACCCAGACCCGAAGAAGGTATGT